ACATTGCGAAACCAATTTGAAATTGAGTTGAATTTGCGTACGGGAAAAGAAACAAATTTTGTAATATTTCTTTTCAAATTTCAAAAAAACTGTCATCGACAAAAACATTGATCATATTTACAAAAATATATCTAGGAAAAAGATTTTTTTTGTTTTAGTACTCAATTCAGTCAGTCAAAAATGTTGTTCAAAATTCAGGTTTCCTACTTGATGAACTCGTTATTCCTGCCTATATTCTTCTCAAGGCTTCGATATCTATGCAACATGTTAAAAATGATCTTTTAAGCCATTATTTGCAGCATATTTTTTCCAGTTAAATTTTCACAAGTAAAAAAAAAATAAAATCTTTTTTTTTTTTTTTCAAACAATGTTCAGTATTAATTGTTTTCGAATTGAAACAGTAATATCAGTTTATTTCTGTATGCTTATTTTCAAATACCACTATTTCAAAGCAATAGCTGTTACAGATTTCTCAAAACTAATCAAAACTGTTTTCTGTTTTCAATCAGTATTATCATTTGGCTGCACTGTACAGTAAGCAGTTTTAATTTTGATTACAAAAAAAAAAAACTTGATACTGCACAAAAACCAAGAAAAAGTATAATTGACGCTGTTGCTGTTGCAAGAATTTTAAGATTTGTCGACTGTAGTTAAACTGCAGTTTAAAACACAGAAGAGGAAAAATAATAACTGCTTTTTTTTTCATGTAAAAAAAAAAATTGTTAATGATATCTTTTTTAACAGCTGCAAAAGTCACTTGAAAACATTAGAACAGTGTTACGATATTGTTAAGGTCTGAAAGACATTACAGCAATTACGCATTATATAAAAACGAAAAAAAAAGTGGAACAAAAGAGGAAAAAAAATTTTAGCGTTGTTTTTAGTTGAAAAAATAGATAAAAATTAAATGTTTTTTTTTTGGTGATTCAAATATTTCTCTGTACTAATAAAACTTTTATCAAAATTTTCTTTTTTTACACTTTAAATATTAAGTATTATATTAGTTGGAAAAAAACAAAAACAAAACTTCAACAATTTAGATTAAATCTGTGTTGTTAAAAGTAAAAATTTGGCGTTATTTTAAAGTATAAAAATGAAGCAAAAACCTTTGACATTGTTTAGCATATTGAAATAAAACTGCTTTTCTTTTTTAGGTGTAACAACAGCACAGAGCCGTCGTCGATTTCGTACAAATTTTACCGAAAATCAAAGTGTCGCATTAGAGGAAGCTTTTCAAGAATCACATTATCCGGATCAAAATTCCAAAAAACAATTATCAGCGGTATTGGACATTCCGGAAGATCGTATTACGGTTAGTGAAAACAAAATTATGAACTGAACTGTTCTCAACTGTTGTTTCTTTTTGATTACCAAAACACTGTATACTACTACTGCTACAACTATTACTACTACTGATAATCTTTTTTGCTATTTTCTTCTTACTTTTTTTTTTTTATTTTGAAATTAGATATTACTCATTGACAACGTTGCTGTTTTATTGACAGGTTTGGTTTCAAAATCGACGAGCTAAATGGCGACGAAAAGAGATGCGTGAAAAAGAAAAAAAATTTCAAGCTGAACAAAATTCTAGACGATTTGATTATGGTTACTGTAGTCAGAATTCGGAAACTTTTCGACGACATCCACAAATGTCATTTCGACCACAACTGCTAAACGGTAGCAGCTGCGGCGACGGTGGCAATGGCTGTAGCAGCAACAGCAGCAGCAACAGCAACAGCAACAGCAACAGCAACAG